TCGGCGGGGTTGGTAGCGACCACGTTGACTTCCTGGTGCTCTCGGCGTCTGCTACGCCGGCCTTCGGGCTGGCTTGTAAAGACGACATAGGCGGCATGCTCGTCGGGGAACTCGTCGTGCACAACTCCGACTGCTGGCCGAGCGGTCGGCAGCTGCGGAGCCGGAGGCGGCGGACTAGCAGGCGAAGGCGGCGCGAGCCCTTCGCCTTTGGAGATTCGGGTGAGCCAGTGGCACTTCCGGGTTGTGTGGTTGGACGGCTTCGTGCCGCTGTGGAACTTGCACGGGGCGTCGAGAGTTTGCTCGTAGGAGAAGGCCGGCTGCCAAGCCGGCCTGCCGCCCTTCTGCTTCTTGGGTGCAGGCCGCCCTTCGGGCCGCTCGTCTTCGACTATGGCCACCTGCCGACTGGTGGAGAGCGGCGCGGGGCCCTTGCGCTTGTGGTCGTTCTGGTACGGGCGTCGGCCGGAGTCCCCAACCGGCATCTTGGGTGCTGGGTTGAGTACCTTCCCGGACGCGTCTACCCGGAGTTCAGTCTTCATCGAGGGGTCGGCGGTGGCGTACTTGTCCGCTATGACCAGAAGCTCGTCGAGGGTAGTCGGCTCGTCGCAGAGGAGCTTGTGCTTGAGGAGGGTGCCTTCTCGGCACCCGGCAGTGAAGTAGTCTATGGCTTGCACCTCGTGCACCCCTTCGCAAGAGTTGCAGAGCTCGGCCCAACGCGTGAGGTAGTCGCGGGTGGATTCGGCGGGGCCTTGTACGCACAAGGAGAGCTGTCTGGGCTTGGGAGCCCGCTTGTAGGTGCTGGTGAAGTTGCGGACGAAGGCTTCTGTGAAGTCTAGCCAGCTGTTGATGCTGTACGGCCTGAGGCTATTGAGCCAGGTCCGCGTCATGCCTTGCAGCATGAGGGGCACGTACTTCACGGCAACGCGCCTGTTGCCGTTTGCTATGCGAACCGCTGTGGAGTAGTCGATCAACCAATCTTCCGGCTTCACGGAGCCGTTGTACTTGGGCGTGTCTCTTGGGAGTGAGAACCCTTTGGGGAAAGGCTCGTCGCGGATGCGGGGGCCGAAGCAAGGCGGGCCGACATCATCTTCTTCTTCTAGCGCCAGGGATCGCGCTAGGCGGTCGATCCGATGGCGGGCGTCATTCTCGCCGACTCCTTTGCGGCGACCTAGTCGGCCGCTGAGAGTCGGATGCGCGACAGGCGGTGGGGTGGGATATCTCTCCCCGCGAGGTGGAGGCGGAGGCGGGTCACCCCGCCACTCCACGGCCCGGGGACGGCCTTCTGCGTCTCGCTCGATGGAGGTCCGGGTTTGGCTTCGGCTGGCGGCCGGCTCCTTCTTGTGTCGCGCGCGGGTTTTACCCGCAGTCGGCATTCGAGACGTCGCGCTGTGCTCTCGGCGCGGGGGAGGGCTTTCCGCGCGGGCGTCGGCTTCGTGCCACTGTGCGGCTGCATCGATTAGTTGCTGGATGCGTCTGGTCATGTGGGGGAGTTCTTCGGCCCCCAGTCCATCTAGCTCGTCTACGGCCGCCTGGGCGGCACGCAGGTTCTCGAGTGGAGTGGCGTAGACTAGGCGGTCGACTCCTAGTGTGTCGGCGAGGGCAGCGCTGCCCTGTCTGACAACGCCGGCTCGGCTTGGCCCGCCTGGGGGCGGCGTGCCAAAGGCGGCGCGGTCGGCTTCGCGCTGGTGGGCCTCGGTGAGGCGTCTCATGGAAGCCAACTTCCGACCCTTTGCGAGGAGGGCGAGGCGGCGAGCCTCCAGTGCTTCGGCGTCGGCATCGGCCGGGAGGGGGATGGACAAGTCGTGGACCGCTGCATGCGGGGCTTCGAGGGCGTTCTTGCCAGAAGCGCCGCCGTGGCCGATGACCATCACCTCGGTGGTGGCGCCGTCGCAGCCATCGGACCGGGGAAGTTGGTCGTTGTAGATCGCGACGTCGGTGGGGAAAGCGTCGAGCGAGGTCATGTCGGAGTCGACAGGCATCGGATCGGTGGAGCCAACAGACTCCAAGTCCACAGCAGGCTCGCCGGAGACGTGGAGCTGGCCGAGGAGGTTGACGAGGCGGACGGTGCCCGCGTCAGAGGCGGGCTCGTTGGAGATGAGGGTCTCGTCAAGGAGATCGACGAGGCCGCTCGCTGCGGAGACGTTGGCGACGCCTTGCAGCGCGTCGTGGCAAGCGTCATCGGGTGTGCCGGGCTGGCTACGCTCGCTGGGGAGGAAGAGGGTTCCCATCTAGAACAGGTCTCCGAACGACGGTGCACCTGGCCCCACGGTGGGCGCCAAATGTCGGGTGGTAGGTGCGACATATGCCAACGGGTGGCTTATCATTGTGGGAGCTAGTAAGACGTCGCCGGTGCCTGGAAGCGGTATGGGGCGAAGACATGCACGCCGGCGAATCTTACCCAGCTTCAGGGCTCTCCGAGGAGATAACACCCCTACTGCTGCTCTGCGGGGTCTCCGCATGATCACTAGATCAACGAGTGGCTACAAGATGCTCCTCGAGCTGTTTGGCGAGAAGAAGAAGAAGGGCACGGCTAGCTCTCCTCTCCTCTCTATGTGGTGTCTAAAACTAGCTCAGATCCACCCTTTGCATGGGTGCCCCGGGGGGTTTATATAGGCCCACCCCCGGGGTACAATGGTAATCCGGCTGGGCGTGGGCCCTAGCCGTCTGTGTCTACGCTCGCCGACTTCTGCGCCGGCTGCTGGGGCCCGCCGGCTGCCGGTTCCTTGGTCGACAGGCAGGCCCCACTGTCAAGGGCCTTGTCGGTGGCTGGTCACTGTTGCTTCAAACCTGGTGACGAGGGCTTCGCCGAGGTAAGCGTGGCTACAGTGCCGCCGCCCGGCGGGCGATCGCTGTAGCCACGCCTCGTCTTGTCCCCTTAATGGGGCGTCTCCTTCGAGGGAGGAAGCAAGCCGGCTGTGGGGAGCCGGCCCCGTCTTGGGCCGACTGGGGGAGGCCTGGCCGTCTTTGGGTGTCTCTTTGCCTGAAGGGGCCCACCGCCCGTGGGCCGCGCTGACAGCCCGTCGTGGGTGGCATCAGGGTCAACATGGCAACAGTGCCGCGCCGGACGGGTCATGGCCACCCCGTACGGCGCACTGTGCCAGGCGTGCTCCGGGATTCGGGGGTGGCAGGCTTTACTATAGCCACGCCCCGTCACATCGCCGTTATGTGGATGCAGACTTCGAGGGTACGATCTTGACCGCTTTGTGGGAGTCGGCTTCTTGCGGCCGGCTTCTTGGAGTCGGCCCTCCCGCGGCTTTCTTCATGAGGGCTAAAGCCGGGCCGCCTTCCGATAGTCGGCCTGGGAGACAGCCGGCAAGGGGAAGGCGGCCCCACATCTTGGATTCTTGAGGGCCGGATCGGCTCGTAATTTTTTCAGAAGGGCCAGGGGGAGCCGGCTAGGCTACCCGTGGTCATTTACTCCGACACTCATCGATGTGCTTGTTTGCTCATCTATGTGTGTAGGATTGATGCAAATTTTGGTATTGAGAAGAAGAATACATCGATCTATTGATAACACGAAAATTGATAGATGTTCGTGCACTCGTTGCTAGAATTAAGGCTGAAGACGAGACCAGAGAGGAGATTAGTGATGAGATTACTAAAGAAGCAACGTCTACTTCTTTATAGTTGAAGAAGAAAGAAGTGTTGAAGCTCAAGAATCCACAGATCAACAATGAAGACATAAAAAAGATATTAATCCAACTAATGGGAGCAGTCAGGGAAATTGAATATCTTCTCAAATGTCTAATTATGGTTCTTGTTTTCCTTGGCCTTGGTCTCGTGGCGAAGAATTAGTGAATTATGTACTCCAACATCGTTGAATGAAATAAAAAATCAAAGAAATATGTTTCGGTGGCTGAATATGTGATGGAAATGAAAAAAAAGATTACTCCACTAAGTTTAGGGGATCAGTTAGAAACGGCCAACACTTAGTGGAGTAAATTTACTCCACTAAGGTTTACTCCTCCATTTTTAGGAGATCGGTTTAGAGTTGCCCTTAGGGCATCCACACTGTGAGCATTTGTCGCCTCTATACTTGCCTCTAAGCCTATAGAGGCTGCCTCTATACACTGCGCACCTCAGTCTCTAAGCAAAAATCCTTAAGAGATGCATCTAATCTTAGCGTCCCTCTCCAACACTTTGGGCTGAAAAACACATTCAGGTGTCCCTACTACGTACTTGCCAGTCATAGGAATAGATGGGCTGGTTGCTATAAAAACACTGTGTTTTATTCAGCTCTGGGTCTAGCTTAAAAATTATAGTAGAGACAGTACACTGCGAAGCATTCATCTAAGCTTAGAGGCAGCTCAGCGGGTCCCAGCTTGGTTTAGAGGCAAACTTGCCTCTAAACACTGTGGATGCTCTTAGTTGGAGCAAGTACCTATAGTTTTTTACTCCACATATACACCTGCCTTTTGTCCGTTGTTGTGTGGGTTGATTCGCACAGCTGTCTTCCTACATGAACAACGCAAGCACATGGCGCGCACCAGGAGAAAGACGGGACGGAAGAGACAAATCACAGTTCGCAACCTTATATTTTATTATCATAAGCACAAAGGAAGAATGTACCAGGATCTTGAGAAGAACATGAATCATCAAGCTATGCATGTATATGTATAGTTGTACCAAAACCCTTTTTCCCTACAACACTTTTAACTTTTAACCCATCCAAACGATATCTTCTTCACCCCAGAACCCCGTTAGACAAAATGAAACAAACAGACGCAAAGAATGACCAACAAAACAAAACAAAAACGTTCCTATACACACACAGAAGATCATAGCCTTCGAGTATAAACAATTCTTTTTTCTTCTTCCTTGGGCACACCAACAACCACCGGTTTTACATTCCCCACCAATTATTCCATAGTAGTATAATAGTAATAAACAAAAAAAAAGAACAGCAAACAATATCGTGGACGGCTGGCTCCGAACAAAGCAGGTGCCAGAGCCCCGCCGTCACCTCGTTCCGGGCCGTGTTTCGGTGTCAACCAATCATGAGATCAATCTTCCGAATCCTTCCATCCTTCTCCTTCTACTGGCAGCTCGCTAATCGCGATCGCTGACCGAAGACGCCAGCCATTCTGCACGTTGCCTCCAACAACTTGCCTGCACCGTTTTTTAATTGGAACGAGTTAAGCATAATATGATTGCTGAGCTAACAGCATGGAATGAGTGGTTCACACGTAGCGACAGCAGTGCTGCTGCACCGACGGTGGCACGCGTACGGGAGTTGGGGAATCGATGTCTGATTACGCCAATTCGCAAAAGTGATTATGTTTATTTTTATATATATAACAGACGCGCTATCAAATCAGCATCGGATGCCAGCCTATGCAATTTTCACGCGAAAGGAACTTGCATATTTTGACATCTTGTCTATGCTAGGGACATGGCAACGGCTGCAGGTAACCTAGCTTCAAAGCCTAGCACTAGAAAGAAAGAGGAGGAATAATTTTGTGTGCAAGGTGAAATGGCCTCTCATGTCGAAATCGCGGGAAAATCACAGGAGGTCGTGATTCACAGGTTATTGGGAGGTGTGCATGATATCTTCTAAATCAAGAAGCATGGCCGTCTATGAAAAGGAGTGGGCACAAGGAATGGCATATTCTTGCTCACTTAACCATAACTCATCATCGTGGGACTAAAACTCCACACCAAGTTTTGTCCAAGCTAATGTGTCCAAAGGTCCAAAACAGTCGGTCATCTGATTTCACAATGGATGCTATTTGTAGGCAATACGCATGATATACATGAACCGAGGCTGGGTCTACAAATAATGGCCCAAATCATTTCATTGGTACCTAAGGGTCTTCGCAGCAATGCCACACAAGAATTATTTATGCTAAGTTTTGATCCCTATTCCCTAACATACACGCTTAAAATTATTGGTTCCATGTACAGGATTTTAATCATGCGTCAATAATCTCAGAAAGGCGCACGGGTTCGGCCCTTGCAGGTCACTCATTCCATGACCATTTGGGCCTACCATTACACCAAACTTGTGCTAAGACAGCAAGGATGTGAGTGGCCAAGGCTTGAGCATCAGGCTTTGGTCTGCTGCTTTTGGGAAAGCTATGAATTGTTGCTCATGCTCAGGGCGTGAAGAAGACACAGGCCAGAGATCTGAGCTGAGCTTGCTTGCAGAGCTAGTAACAGCATCAATCAGGAGACGGTGAACAAGACAGTGACCCACCAACACACCACACCACAGGCGTGGTGAGGTTCAGCTCAGTTATTCTACCCCAATGGTTTCTAATACTACCCTCCAAGTTTCCAGAGTTGATGCCAACGGATTTCTCAATGAAAATTCCAATGGGCTGGCCAATTGGCCATCACAAGTGTGATAAAAATCGCCGGAGTATTTAATCTGTGGCTGCATATAAAACTCCAAGGGAAATCCTCTGCAGTTTTGGGCGGTACATGACATGGCACATGATGATGGGCAGGGCAGGGCACCGACAGGGCCATGAGCAGAGGACGGCAGGACGGAACCCTAATTGCTCACCACCAACCAATCGATAGATTAACCCGCGCCGCACTCACCGGTACCCTCACCGGCAATATTCTCGCCGTCAACGGCGCAACCAGCATTGAGGTTAATGAATGGGGGCAGGTTCATCTACTACTGACCGCTAGAATCTAGGTTGTGGACTGTAAATTTTCGGTGGCAATGATGTGGCGGTACAGTACCAAGCAGGCTAGTTATGATGCTAATTTAATAATGGGGGGAGTGGGGTTCAGATCTGGGGGGTACTGACCTCGCCGGAGCTTGCTCTTCCTGGAGCCGGTGACGGCGGGCGCCTTCCTGTCCGGGGCGGACACCGGCGTGGCCGGCTTCTTGTCGTCCTCCGGCAGCAGCACGGCGTCGATGCCCTGCACCGAGATCCTGCCGTCGGTGTAGATGTCCGGGTCGAAGAGGTAGGCGGAGCCCTCGCCCTGCCCGAACTTGACGGAGCCGTCCGCCTCCCGCGCCACCACCTTGTGCGGCAGCCGCAGCGTGTCGTACCGCACCTTGCCGAACCGGCGGACGGCGTTGTACATGCTCTCCTCCGTCTGGTACTCCGGGATCATGTGGTAGTACAGGATGTTCTCCGGCGACCCGGGCTCGCTCAGCTGGTCCGTGGTCAGCCGCGCCATGGCCTCGTCGTTGGGCGCCAGCACGGTCAGCACGTACCCCTCCGACACCAGCCGGCCCATCTCGGTGGCCAGCGAGGTGAGGTTGACGAGGATGTCGGCCAGCTCGTTGTACCCGCCGTAGAGGACCAGGGTCTGGATGAAGTCCTTGACCTGGCTGTGGCCGTCGAAGTGGTGCTTCCCGTTGCCCGGGCCGGGCGCGGGCGCGGGGGCGATGGAGGGGCCGGGGGCCATGGCGTCCCACACGGGGAGCACGGGGGGCGCGCCGGGGAGGACCGGCGGCGCGGGCTTCTTGAGGCGGTGCGTCCTGGGGTCTACCTCGGGCGCGCCGGTGGGGAGCACGGCCGAGATTGCGGCGAGGCTGCGGCGGCGGTTGAAGTCCTCCTGCACGGAGCGGGGGACGAGGAGGCGCTCGATGCCGTGGATGACGCCGTCGGGCCTGAGCACGGCGTCGGGGCGGGTGACGGCGGCGTGGGCGACGCGCATGGATCCGTTGGCGCCGGCGGCGAGCTCGACGTCCTCGCCGGAGAGCGTGGGGTGGGAGGCCGCGGGCCAGGAGCCCGCCGGGTGGCGCGCCGGGAGGACGTGGAAGAGGAGCAGCGTCTGGAGCGACTTGAGGTTGCGGGGCTCGAGCAGGAAGCGCTTGAACTCCGGGTCGAGGTCCCGCTCCAGCGCCTCGTTGCGGGGCGCGAAGATGGTGACGTTGTGGCGGCCCACGGCGTCCTCCAGCGTCTGCAGCAGCAGCGCCTTCTCCACCAGCTCCGCCAGCTCCGTGTAGTGCGAGTCCAGCAGCGCCACCAGCACCGAGTTGGAGTTCACCCCCGCCCCGGACCCGTTGACGACCGCCGCGGCCGCCACCACCACCCCGTCGCCACCACCGCCAGCAGCGGCGGGCAATGTGGGTTCCTCCGGCCGCGCGGTCTCAGCGGCGGCGGCGCCCGCGGCCAGCGCGAGGGCGAAGAGGAGCACGGCGCCGTACGCCGGCGCACCCATGGCGGAGCGCCTCCTCTGCTCTAGCTGCTCTATCTGCTGCTGCTGCTGCGTCGGCGGCGGAGGACGGGGATGCGTCGGCGGCGGTGGATTTGCGGTGGTGGCGAGCTGATGTTGCTGCTATTCCAGCTAGCAAGCTCCTGGGGAGGGGGGGAGAGGGGAGTAACTATATGGTGTTGGGTGGTGTGAGCTTTTCTTCCCCCTCTTTTGTTTAGTGTCTAGAGAGAGAGAGAAGGAGAGAGAGCGAGAGACGGCCGGCCAGACAGCGAAAGAGAGAGTGAGCTTGCTTATAACCGAAGAGAGAGAGAGAGAGAGAGAGGAGGAGGAGGAAGACGCGGCGTAGTTGGTGGGCGGGCACAGGCTGGCCGGCGGGCCCGGCCCGAGCAAGTGTCGGTCGGTCAGTCGGTGTGCGCTGTTGCCTGGCCGCACCGCACCGCACACAACCCAAGGTTCGGTTCGGTTGGCACGTCGTCGTAAGCGGTCCGTGCCATGCCAAGCGGCGGCGACGTACGCAACTTTTTGGGCCCCGACGTGAGGTCTGCCGCCTTTCCCGCGCCTCCGCTCACGGCTCGCCCCCTCCTTTCCGCCTCCCGCGGCCACGCAGGCGAGCCCAGCGACCGGGCTTCTATTCCCGGGGACCTAGACGTGAAAAAAACTCCAGCCACCCGCTAGCTGCCCCCATCCTCCGCAAGAGAGAGAGAAAAAAAAACAACCTCCGGCCATCCGCATCGATGCGATTCGGCTGGGGCGGCGCAGGGGTGGTGGTTCCGCGGCCGGGATCGCTGGGGCGCCGCCGTCCCGCGTGGGAGTCTCCCCGGTCCTGAAGATCCGTCGTCGAGGGTACCGTAGGTCCTTCCTCCACCTTCTTGTTCTGCTCCGATGCTCCTTTCTTTCCTTCCTCGTAATAATGCATTGTGGACGCTCGGCCTTAGCAATGGCGCTGATGTTTTAGGGGCGCGGCGGGCCTCTGATTCTGTGGTTTCTGCGGATTTCAGGGAGGGGTTTCGGCGTTACTGTTTGATCATGCTGGGTGGCTGTCTGTGGCGGAGGGGATGGAATGCTGATTCTTTGGGGAGGAATTGATTGAGGCAGTAGGCGCTGATTTGATAACAACAATAGTTCAGTGTGGTGGTTGTATCTGAAGAAGAGGAGCATTTTCCCTTTGATTTGGTGCTTTTTCCTGCGGCCGCGGTCATGGAGCATATTATTGCGAGCAAGTTTAAGCTCGGGAGGAAGATTGGCAGTGGCTCGTTTGGGGAGCTATACCTTGGTATGTTTCATATTAGCTTACGTGCAAAATGGTTGTCATTGCGTTAGTTAACCTGCAAATATCAATGTTTATGTTTTCTATGCGCCTTTTCTTGATTCAGGTATTAATATACAGAATGGAGAGGAAGTGGGTATAAAGTTGGTAAGTGCTAATAAACTTTCTTGTAATTTCATTTGGAGGATCTATAATTTGTAATGCACATATATCAGCGGCTTTTGCACTTCGACACTTATCCCACCTTCGATGGTTAAAATGCTCGGCTCAAAGTCTCACGTTTCCCTCAATCTGATTTGTATCAGGAACCCGTGAAGTCGAAGCATCCACAACTGCACTATGAATCCAAAGTTTACATGCTGATGCAGGGTGGAAGTAAGTGGGTTGTATCCATATGTTTCATTTACCAATCATGTTTAATTTACTCCTTTGCTTCTTCTTTTTTTCATTATAGGCGGTATCCCACATCTGAAGTGGTATGGTGTCGAGGGAGAGTACAATGTTATGGTGATTGATCTTCTTGGCCCAAGCCTGGAGGACTTATTTAACTCCTGCAACAGGAAATTTACTATGAAAACAACCCTTATGCTTGCTGATCAACTAGTAAGTTTGTTCCTCTACATCCGTTACCCGGTGCTGATCCATGAAGTTATGAAACAAATGCATATGATTGAGTCTGATCACAGTCATCTTTCTATAATCTGGTTTATCAAAGTTCTGTAAGGATTTGGAAAAAAATGGTTATCTTACTTGGTGAAGAAAAATCCAAATTGTTAAACCATAAATTCATGAATTTGGGTAGTGGACATGTGAAATCCACAAACTCCACCGGAGACTAACTTTTATTGGGTCTCAACCCAACTACTATGAGGCTATGCATCAACCGATTTACATCTAGGGCACTTATTTCAGTTTAGATTTCATTGAGAAAATAAGTGTTGGTACTTAGTTGAGATTATTTGAATTGTGCTTGATCTTTGCATGAGGTTTTATACTTCAGTTCGGATTATCTTTGATGATATATTTTTTAGATAACACGGGTGGAATACATGCATTCCAAAGGATTTCTTCACCGTGACATCAAGCCAGACAACTTCCTTATGGGCTTAGGCCGGAAAGCGAATCAGGTTAGCATTGTCAAAAAAGGTTCTTGCTTGACTTGTTTTACAAATAAATTAAATTTAATAGGAGTAGCGAGTTCATTTATATTGTAAACTTTAACAACTACCCAGTTTCTTTATTCATAAATCAACAACACATCAAAACATATGTTTTTAAATCTGTAGGTCTATATAATTGACTATGGGCTTGCTAAGAAATACAAGGACCTCCAGACTCATAAACACATCCCCTACAGGTGAGTACTCATTTATGAAGTTTCTTTCTTGAGATAAATTCGGAAGTTTGATTTGATATAGGTTTTTTTATCTCAAGTATTTCTGATGGTAAATTTCAAATATGTCCCCAGAATATATTGGAAAATTTCCCCATGTTTTTCTTTTATGTACTAGCATATTGGCATATATTTTTTATGTGATACTTCCTAGTGGTATACCATTGTAACATATCTACAGAGGGTCTGTCTTTTTCCTAGACACAATTGATTATATTATATTATATTATGGTATATATAGGATCATGAGTCTATGCTTCTTAATTTATTATTATTCAAATATAAAAGACATGATTATGATTAATTTAGCCTCTAAATATTAGTCTATCAAATGTGTCTAGTGCTACATTACATCCAAATATTGCAATGCCTTTTCTTGGACAGTGTATATGTTAGGCTCAAACTTGAATGTGTTCTCTAGTTGTATGCCTCTTTGTGCTAATGTATTCAAACTGTACTTCTTATATATTTATAGTTATTTTTTGCCTGTACAGGGAGAATAAAAATCTGACAGGAACAGCACGCTATGCTAGTGTGAATACTCATCTTGGAATAGGTGAGCACAATAAGCAAATCAAACCTTGCTATCTTTTCCCAAATTATCCTGGAATCAAGGCACTGGATTATTTAGCTATAAAATGAATATCATATGGTGTATTAGTAGCTATGTGGTATAGATATTTTAAAATAAAAAATAAAAATACATATGCATGTGCTTGTTTCTTGCAGAACAAAGCAGGAGAGATGATCTAGAGTCTGTTGGTTATCTTCTACTGTATTTTTTGAGAGGAAGGTTAGAACTGGTGATTTAGTACTTTGTTATCTTGCCTATGGTCTGTTCAATAATGTGAGCACTGACTTGGCATGCTTTGGTGTTATTCTTAGTCTCCCATGGCAGGGTCTTAAAGCTGGCACTAAGAAACAAAAGTATGATAGAATTAGTGAAAAGAAAATGCTTACCCCGGCAGAGGTACTGATGTTGCGATCATGAAGTTTGTCATTCTGTTACGGTAACGCCTAGATGTATTGATTCCCTTAAATATAAATTTGTCCAGGTTCTGTGCAAATCTTATCCATCGGAGTTCATCTCATATTTCCACTATTGCCGTTCCCTGAGATTCGAAGACAGACCAGATTACTCTTACTTGAAGAAACTATTCCGGGATGTATTTGTTCGTGAAGGTATACATTTTTCTTCTTTGGAGGTTTTCTACACTTGTCCATTAATTTATCCACTGGAAACTTTCTATAAGCTGATGTTGAGAAAAGTGGTCTAATTATGGGCTACCTTTGTAGGATATCAATTTGATTATGTATTTGACTGGACCGCACTCAAGTATCCTCATATGAGTTCCAGTAACAAGCTTGTTCGAGTATGTATTATCTTACCTTATCGATTGGTATTATTTTCTTTACATTCTTGTTGAACTATTTATCTTGTCCATATCCAGCAACCGAGTGGAAGATTGGCTGGAGTTGGGCCATCTGTTGAGAGAACAGAAAGACCTTCAGGTTTGCCTTCTTGTTGTTTATCGTATGAAACACTGAGATCAATACCCAGATTAATTCATGTATATTCTGCCAGTAGGACAAGAGATCCGGGATAGATTCACCGGTGCTGTGGAGGCATTTGCCAGAAGAAACTCGAGCTCCGGTCGCCACGGACACGGAGACCATTCGAGGCACAAAAGCACTGCTGATTCATTCAGTTCATCTAGAGAAGCTGTAAGTATTTGCACTCCATTTTGAATTTTTAATTACTCATAACCAAGTGTCAAAGCTCTTCGCTTAGCACCAAAAAACGACGGAAAGGAGGCAAAAGCAACTACTACATTTCTGCTTGAGATCTGGTGGATTTTGTAAGCAAGTAATAGCTTACTTTACCCTATATGCGGTAGCTTGCTGCTGATACGGAGAAAACACACATCTTGTCCCGGACTGGGAGCTCATCGAAGATGGCTGGCACGCAATCCAGCCGGCCAACCTCTTCAGGGGACTGCACCGGTCGGTTGTTCTCGGGAAGTGGCGGCAGCAGCAGCCGCCCGTCGTCGTCGACCGTTCAAAGGCTCCACCAATCCGGAGGCAGCGGTGCGGAGAACGGCTCGTCTTCACCCATACCCGTCGCCCGGAACGCACCAGGGAGATCAAGCCGACGGGACAGCCACTCGGCATTCCGGAGCTTCGAGCGCCTGTCGATCAGCGCTGACAGAAGGAAGTGATCGACGACCCTGGAGGCGATGACAATTGCCAAGGATTTAACACCCGTCGATCTGTGCACTCACAAGAGTTCAGCAGACATGAACAATGACTTGACGACGAATGGTTAAGCAGAATGGCCAGGAAAGAGTGGTGTCCTGGTTGCCATGCATGCATGTTCTTTCTTCAAACTCCAAATGAGATGTTTGTCATATAAGATCATGGGCTAGAAGTATGTAATTCTTTTCAACGGCAAATTCGGCTTGATGTGTACCCCTCTTCTTCCAGTATAGGATTTTGAATCATAGGGAAGAAGAGGCTGCCAAATATATATATTGATCTTCTATGATCATAGTTTCATAAAAATCTTGGTGTTCTCTCAAATTTTAGTTGTTCCACTCATTTGTGCATGACTGAGACATTTTCTCATATTGTTCCTACAATATATAGTCGTTTTGCAATACTATCACATTCAAGAGTTTTTCAAGCTTACATACCCAAGCGAAGAGATGTCTACTTTACTCCATGAACTTGTCCTAGGTTTACCTTACAAACCCAGACTCTGATTTTGTTCAATTAGCACCCAAAGTTTTTTTTTAAAAAAAAACTGGTTAAAATACAACTCATCTTCTGAATTAACCGGTTTTGATCTGTTTCAGCTGAAATTTTACTGGATTGGTCACTGGATTATTTATGGCTTACTGGAAAACAATCATTTTTTCTGTGCAGTTTGAATTTAAAACCCAAAGTCGGACTGGACCTCTCAAACCATATGGCAAAAATATTAAATTTTCACCAAACTGTTCACTGGTTGAGAATTGATAAACTGGAACGTTTTCCGATTTTATGGCGCAGTGAAACCAAGGTTGTGCTTGGCATTACGGTGGATTATGATAACAACCAGGTTTTGCCTATTTTGTTGTATTTTTGACCAATTCATGCCACTTAGTTCCATGGCTATTTTCCTACATTAGATTGTTATATAAATAAGCAATTGAGTCTAAAATAGATGCTTGCGCAGTCAGAAAGGGAAAAAATAAATTCAAACGCTTTATATATTAAAAAGATAACTAGTAAATCAAGCATAATCCACATATATTTTGGTAAATTCTAGCTAAATTTGATACTCGTAAGTTTTAGAGGACACTCAATGTTTTAGTTTCAAGTTGAATGGAAGGGAGGTTAAAGCTGGTTAAATGGTAGGGAGGTGGCAATCTGAACCAGATCAGAACTGGTGGTAGTACTCCAGGTTATTGCCGAAAGGAAGTATAGTAATGAGGTGGTCAAGTGCGTGCCAATATTGCATCCGGTAGGTGCCACCACCAGAACCGGATCCATCGTCATCATAATTAAACGACCCACCTAATGCCCAGGTTCGATCAAGCTGGACCTGGGGCATCTTTTTGCTCAAGTCAGACAAGAGGCGCCATGTGCCTTCCTCCCTTCCTTCCTTCCTTCCTTGCTTCCTTCCCTGTCACTGTTCTTAAGCACAGATACATCGTGTCACTTAGTAGCAGGAGCACTCGCTAACTGCTCCCGGAACACGCATTGCACCTCGTGCTTTGCAAGCTGCGGCGGGTCAACGAGGATCGGGGCAATGAATGTGTGGGGATCGTTGCGTTGCGCGGATCGAATTGTTCCCAATTGTTTTGCTTCTGGTGTCAGGTGTGCAAGGGGGTTGATTAGGTTAATCAGGAGCAGTCAAATGGCTTGGCTAGCTCATGGCGAAGACAGCTAGGTCAGAGTTAATGCATAGGGGGGAGGGGAATGGCTAGTGGCAAGCGGTCTACTCCTGTGTCAATTCTTATTGCTTTTGTAAATCCAACCATATCTTATTGGCATCTTGACGCAGTTCGTGTGAGAAAATGCCGCTTGATCGGCCGTACCGGGAAAAATAAACAAATCTCGCTGTGTATTGGTAGTGTCATACTACATACTGGCACCGGTGACGATGTGATGACAGTTGGTTGGGTGGTCACCGTCGCCGAGCCGTGCTCCGGCCAGTTCGCTGACGCCGCAACCACGAACAGGTAATCAATCCGCACCCAGAAAAAGAAATACTAGGCCACGAATTAAGCCGGACGGACACCCGTACGGCCACCATCTTAATCCCTAGCCGCTAGCTTCCACACAAGCGCGAAAAAGAGCCCCTAATTCAGGTGTGAATGAAGCAAAAACGTTGCTTAGCCGTGTCCAAAGGAGGTGTCACGTCGGGCGATTAGTTACCGGGTCGTGGCTTTGGCGTGGCTTCCTTCCTCTTGGTTGTTTCGCTGCTATTGGGTCGTCCTCGTAAAGAAGGGACGGACGGGTAGTAAAGTGAGACGTCCCATTTTTGATAGTCTTCCGTAGTCTTTTCTCTTTTTGGATAGTTTTTTTTTTGAAAGGCTTTTTGGATGGTTTGTTGCTTGGCCTGACCGACGCGTCGGCGTCGGCGTCTTTTGCTTGACGTGGGTTGCTCTCCACGCAAGCAGAGGCTTGCCCGCCAGCCATGTTCCTTCCCCGGCTCCGGTTTCGACCAGTACGTGTCTTTTCTTCCCCCCTACTGTTTGAGTTTGATGATGTGCTCTTGTGTTGTCTTTTGGCCGGGTACTTGTTAGTTATGTTGATGGGGCCCCTAGTATGATCTATAGACACGTCTGAGACGTAAGAGTTTCACGCAACTCACTTCATTTCTTCCCGTCTCTCCTCGCGTAGGAACATAAGTAAGCATCGTGATGCTCCATTCGGGTCTTTGAATCGTGTGATCAACGTGCAATTATAGTACGTACAAACATACATGCTCTGACGAAATGTATGTATACACGTCCCCTCCGATCTGAAGCCAAGTCCTGTGGCAGTGTGCCACCTACACTACGCAAGGTGAGGGAAGAAAGACGAGGAAAAGGAAGCCGGTGGGTACCAGCCAGCCGGAATTTGTTACTGGCTGACCGGCGATCCGGCGCGGGCACGGCACGGCGACGGACGGATGGATGGCAGGCGCCGGGTCGTTCGTCTGTTACAGCCGAGCGGATGCGCTGCCGCGTTGATTTGTTACGGCCCCTGGGCATGCGTTCGGTACGGTGTCGCGGGCGGGTGGAGAGTCGGACGGAGGCGTCGGTCGGTGTCGGTGGATTCGGGTCGCACGTCTACGCCTGGCTTCCGTCGGTCGAGACGGCGACGGGCTTGACCAATTAAGTACGGGGCCTCTCATTCTCTGATCAAATTTCTTTTTCATGTTCCTTTCTTTATACACATTTCTTTTTCATGCTCGGGCAGCCGAGCGCACGCACGTGTGCGTGGGGTTTGTTGGTTGGGCTGAGCTGGGCATCGCCTGCGCGTGCACATGGACACACGGCATTCTCGCTTGGTTTACTACGTGCGTGGGCTGCTGGTGGGACATCGTGCGAGGAGAATCGATCGATATATCTGTGAGGTGTTCGCCAAATCACGGTGATTGATGAGGAAATCATGCCTGTTTCGGAACGTGCGTGATATATTTCTATCAATCGAATGGGTTTCTCTCCTTCTCACATCTGTTGATCCTCTTTAGAGCATCTCCAGCATCCCTATCGAGAGCGAATAGACGGTAGCATATCGCTGCTCTCTCTTTGGTGGAAGCTCCCTGGATGGCTGATGCTGTTTTGCTCTCCGTGTAGTTGGACTGGAGAGTGGTCTCTCTCTTCGCCTGGCTGGACTTTTGTGTAATAGGCTGTAGTTTAGCCTGAACTGTGATTTGGTGCTACCAGGTTTTTGCTCCGCGGCACTCGTTTCGTTGGCGGGCGAGTGTGGTGGGTTTTCTGGCAGTGCCCGGACTCGCTCCTCTCTTTCCCCCCTCCTGATGTCTCTGGAACTATTGTATTTCCGTTCATTTGCAATGAAAAGGGGTGTAGCCCGGTTCGAAAAAAAAGCATCTCTATAAGTACGTTTAGAGGCTCTGTTGATAAACTTATTGGGTTTTTAAATGGTTTTTAGTTAAACAGAGGCAAAAGCTTTGCCTTATGTCATTAAATACGAAGGGGGAGTACAAGGCCACGCAGACCCGACTAGAAGGGATCACTTTTCCGGTAAAATGTTACCCAAAAGTCAAGCCTCAGCAACTAGCCAAGTCTTTGCCTCATCCATGATTGTTGCCGCCACCTGAGTGGGCATGGAGGCCTTGTTGCGGAAAACCCAAGCATTCCTTTCGTTCCATATCTCCCAACAGATGAGCATTTGTATAGAGTTGATTGCCTTTTTGTTGTATCCTGGTTGCCCTTCGCTCGAGTTCCACTATTGCTTAATTGTGTGCAGGTCACTCCAAGAAGGTGTCTTGGACTGCCATCCAATCCAGTCATAAATCAAGTTCCAGACCCGAATAGTACATCGACACTAGAACATAAGGTGGGTTGCTGTTTTCGCTTGGCACTCGCAAAGCTGGCAAGGACTGGAGTTTGGCCAACCTCTACGAATCAACCTAGCCGCCATCCAGATTCTATCTTGGAGTACTAGCCAGGAGAAGAACTTGACCTTCGGAGGTGCCCATATCTTCAAAACCATAGTAGGCATCTCGGATTTGATCAATTCCGCAAATTGCATCTTGTATGTTGTGGCGGCAGAGTAGCATCCGCCAGCCATGAACTTTCATCAGATTTTTACGATTATGGTGCAAATCCCTTGGGTTTTCAAAGGTGTGTGGCTTTAGCAATTTCCCTATAAACCTCCTCATATAATCTATTTTTTTGTGTGTTTCTCTCTTCGCTAGTGCATACATACATAGACAAAACTATTTGACCATCAAAATAACTCAAATATTTCTGTCTCAAACACACATATTCATCACAATTTCAAATCCTTAACTTACAAAATTTGAATTTGAATTAAAATTACGCATAAAAATGGTTGAAATGCATTCAAAGTAAACATGGAGAAGTTCAATGCCCATGCAGCTTCCACAAGTGCTCAATAAGGTCATCATGAAGTTGTTCATGCCCTGCACGGTCTCCAGACTATCGATGCACTTGAAGGAACCTCTAGAGGGGTTGTTCATTCCTGATAGAGTTCACAACAGCTCCCGCAAAAAAAGGGTT